TGGACATCAATCAATCTTTATATATTGAATTATTTAGCTTTTTTGTTTGTATGTGTATTGTTTGTGTTAAAATCCTCTGTCAATTATACATAATCGTATTGCCCTGTTTGCTCTTTTGTTTGTAAAGCACAAGAAATGTAGTTTTCATCTGTATAACTGAAAGTCAATAATAATAATAAACACAATAATAATTATAAAATATTGAATGTTAATTTTTCTACTGCGACCAATGTAGTGAAAATACAAAATGGACAAAATTAAGTTCAATAAATGTGTATTAATTAATTTATTCTCAGTCAAATCTGACCTTTATTTTGAAATAACTTGACATGTTTGTTAAGGGAATAAATCACCCACAAATTAACCATTTATATTATTAATAATCAATCATTTCTGTCTCTTTTTTTGATAATTCCAGGTAACGTAAGTAATTGATATATTAATGATGATTTGATTCCTTTACAGCCGGGGTGTCAAACTCAGAGCCGTATAATAGAAGAGTTATGACATCTCCGTTCACTCCAATGGACCACTTGTTTACAGCAATGGCGGATCGTGGAGCCTCTCAATCGTTCCCCGGAAGTTAGCGCCAAGGCTAGCAGAGCTGTGGAGTTGCAGCATAATAGACCGTTCGTGACGGACTTTTAAAGGTAAGAAGAAGTTTAAAGATTTATATTGCGGATATTATCAGTACATCTGATTCAAATGAACATGTGTATTAAAGGATGTCAGTGGATTATCCCTAAATTAGTAGATTTAGGGAACGTTTACAGATAACAGATCAAGCTAGGATACCGAAGCAAGTTAGCAACAGACGTTGAACAACCTTTTAATTGTAAATTCCGTTCTCTTAATGTCTATTTGGTCCAACGTTGTTGAATTAGAGAAGAGGGGCTTCTAAACGGGATTGTATGCGGGGGTGGAGGGAGTTAAATATTAGATACATATAACTTTGGTGCGTGTAAGAGTGAGTGTTTTTAGCAGAGCCATATTGTGTCCTTGTGATTATGTTGATTATTACCTGTGTATAATGTTGCAGCTCAGCTGATTTTGGATTGATGGCAAAGGGAGAGGAACTTAAGTGAGTGTGAAAACACAAGGTAAGTTTAATACTACTGTTTTATATAAGTAAGCATACTAAACATGTATTCTATCACTCTATTATATAAGTAATCTTGTTAGTAACCTACTGTATGGCAGGTGGAGGGGCAGTGATGTTACAGGTGGAGGAGCAAAACTGCAAACTCACAAGACAGAGAAATCAAAGTTTGTTCTCCAGAGAAGAGGTTGATTTCACTTACATTTTTTCATATTTTCTAAAGATGTGGAAATGGCAACAAAAAAACACGTGAGAGCTGTAACCAAGACAACTGTAACAACATGAGTAGACAGCCACCAAGGTTTTTCAAGTCCCTCTCTTACTCCATTTTGCCAACCCAAACTTCCAGGTACATGACGGGACACCTTGCTTGTTTTTGTTGTTTGCGCTCCTCTGGCAGGTGGAGGGCAGTGATCCCTTCCCTTCTTCCCTCAATCTTTGAGACTAATGTAAGTAGAAGACATGGCACTGTAAATGTTCAAACATTTAAAATATTATACCACTTAAAAATAAGAAATATTACTTTTGTTACTAAGAGTTCATACTTATTATACCTGTGTCACCTTTCACACTATAGCTGTGATCATGAGCTATGGGCTTTGTAGATACAGGTCCCGGGGTGAATCGTGGTGCAGGGGCCCTTCTCTTTTTGACCACAGGGCGATGCACGAAGATGGTGGGTATAGCCTCTGCTCTCAGCCTAGTCTTGCCCTTTTTTGTCTTGACAAACTGGTCTGCATCAAAATGTGCCTGCGGAGTGACTTGAGGTTACTTCACACACAGAACAACTGTGTCTGAATCTTGTCTGCCCACATACATATTCCATAGTGGTTGAATACACAGTATTAGGAAACACTTTATACTTACTGGACATGTTATACTCATTACATACTGTATATAAAATATGACCAAGAATGTGAGACAACTTTATAGAAATTCATATCACATATGTTACTGATGCCATTTGTCATATACTTTGTTAAACTCACAAATAATAAAGTTCCATAACTTCAGTTGGGAACAAAGACCACACCTTATCTTATCCAATAGGTGTGCTATATAGGTGTGTATAACCCTTTCTCCTGTCTGTTTATCCCTCTTTCAGCACAAGAACCAGAGGGGGATTCAATGGAGCCTGAATACCTGCACTGAGACCCTCACCCTGCACCCTGTGTCTCAACTCTCAGTGTTTTTCAAGCCTTTCCCTGTTTTTTGTATTAAACAAAACATTAAGCTTTCCCAATGGTGTGGTTTTCGTTTTGTGAAAAAGTGCAAATGCAGTGTTTGTATATAAATCACATATTTTGTTGCTGTTGGTCGTGAAATTGCTCCTGCTTCCTCCGCTCTGTGTCAGTGGGGAAGCTGTACATTCGTACTCCTTTCTCTGAGCGATTGGAGCATCCCCAGGCAGCACAGCAAACCATGGGCTATGAGGCAGCACAGCAAACCATGGTGGCGACTAGGAGGCAGCACAGCAAACCAGGACAACACGGAGGAAAAGGCACAGACAAACTGCATGATATGCTATTCAATGTTTATTGAATTCCATGTATTTGCAATGGATGTTCCTAAAACAACACATTTAACATCATCATCATCATCATCATGCTGCTGCTGCTAGTCCTTTGATAGTCACCTGTCGGTCTCCTGTCCTTTCTGAAAGCCATAAAGATGACATTAGTCATTTAGATAACTTGTGTCCTCAATTACCATGGTTACTGAAACTACCATGAATTTAAGAAAATGGTAGACATTAATCTAATCTGAATTTTAAAGCATTACTTTAGATCCCCTCCCTCTAAATATATCAATAAACATTAGAAAGTGATGCTCCTGACCACCATACAAGTTTAAGAAGATAATATTGGCTTTTAAAGAATTCAAAGCTATAAATAAACAGCAACAGGCTCTTTAACCAAGGCACTGTTAGCCTAACATGTAAACTAGTTGTTCACACTAATCCTAATATTATCACTTAATATTAGCAAATTCTATTTTATTTTTTAAAACATATTGATGTAAATACATACACATATCGATTTGTTGTATACATTTTGCAAATCAAAACCTTTATTCACTAATAATTACCAAAAATCGTAGTTCTATCTCCTGTTATCAATGCATTCACATTGCCCGCCATGAACTTCCGGGGAACGATCCTCTTCTACATGAACCACGTGACGATAACCGTTTTTGGACTTCCGTTGTCGTAACTCTTCTATTATATGGCTCTGGTCAAACTCAAACACACAGTGGGCCAAAATAAAAAAATGGGTACAAGTCGAGGGCCGGACTGGTTCAATGTTTATTGCAGAACTTATTGAAATGAACTCATTGCACATATTAAACCTGGAACTAACAAAGCTTAAATTATTGCCTATAAAAACAACATGACAAATTAAATAATCAGTTGCATTCATTTCTTATGGCTCTATCTGCAGCTTTTACAGAGTCATTTCTTATGATTACATTTTCCCACAGGCCAACAACAGCTTCAACAAACTATTTCCCTCAAAGAGAAAACCAAACATGCCCTGTTGTCTCAAGAAAGAAAGTTCAGAAGGAAACATCCATTAAACTCAGGTTGCTGCTCTGTGATGCTAGCTCAGATACTTGGCATCTCATCTTGGGTGCAAGTTCATCAATGTTTGGGCTCAGGCTCTGAGCTGAGGAGACCCTCAGGATGGAGGGAAGGTGTGCGTGCAATATACCGGCGGGCCAGGTCTAATAGTAATTAGAAATTATCCTGCGGGCCGAAATTAAATTCACCACGGGCCTGATTTGGCCCCCGGGCCTTGAGTTTGACACATGTGCTTTATAGCATAGTTTCACTCCATATGCGAGAGCAAAGGCAAACAGCAGGATAGAATAGAAGAAGGACCTGGAAAAAGTTATGTTTTTTTAAAGAACGAAAGTCTGTGTGTTTAATGTCAGTCTTTCCCTCCAGGTGAGTAGATTATTTACTGGTTATGGTGATTGTTACCGTCAGTGATAATAAAACCCTCCCTGCTGATACTGAAGGCTGTAAAACATTATAACAGAACACACTGAACTTCTGTCGTTATGACCCACAAATGGTTTTAGAAACATTTGTCAGAATGAGGCAGAATTTGGGGCTAAAAATAAATGAAAATGACATTGTAGATTTATAATAATAATAAGTTATTTTTATTTCCAGACGTCTAATTTTAACGCATGTTTAAAGTAATCTCAAATAATAACTAAAGACAAATTAGAGTGTTTATGAATATACTGTTTATATGTTTGTCATCGTCTACTCTGACTCTCTACTGACACCAACAGGCTGAACGTGGTACTGCGCAGAACAACAATTAAAAACAGGAGACTGTCAGTGTTTGACATTTGATTTTACTTTAAAAACAAATGTACATTACAATTTAAGAAGAGCAATCATTTCATTTAAAAAACGTACACCTATGTATACAACGACACCAGTTTATAAAACCATTGTATCCGAAAGACAGCACGTGACCCATTTTCAAACCGTCTGTTCAGGGAGGAGAAAATGTCTCACCAGCTGCTCTTAAACAGGGACCATAACACAGCGTTGTGAAATATAGCTATGAATCTCCAGATGTGTAAAGAGATGTCTTTTATGTATTGAGAAAATACTCCTACTTATACTCAATACACTATTTGAAAAGCCTCTTGGATCAGCTGTAAAATGCATCGTCACAAAGTTAAATAACAAGCCTCAACAGTTCTTCCTCCACTCCCTCTTGGCAAACTGCCACTGAGAGGTGGAACCACACTGTAAGAGAAGAGTTTCCATTTCCCGGAAATCAAAGCTGTTGTTTGTCTGAGCGACAGCAGAGCAGCAGCCGAGACACGTCTCTGTTTCTCTGAAGAAACACTCAACTGAATCCAGCAGCTTTTTCCAACACAGCAGGACTCTGCAAACACTGGTGAGTTCACTACAGACACATCACTTACTAAACATTTAGTCAAAGTTGTATTCATATAAAAAATAGTATACTATAGATATGTGTCGGTTAAGATATTAGGAACAGCTGCAATGTAAACTCTGGTTAAGTTAGGTTAGAGAGCATACAGTCAAAGCTAGCATTAGCTTTACTTATTTTCATATTTCCTGTATTTGAAAACATCTTTATAATTGACTCTATTAAACAAAGTAGAATCTAAATAGTAGATTTGTTCTGGACCGTCCAAAGCAAGGGATCTGGTGTTATGTTACAAGTTTTGCTCATAAAAAGGCATGACAATTACATATTTCATCTTGTATCATTTGTACACACTGTGGTTAGTAGCCTTGAGCTTTGAACCTGTTTCTGTAGTAACTGCTGTCTGCCTTTTGAAGCTGATAACGTTTACTGTTTTTTAACAACTAGTATTAACTTCAGTGATGCTCAGCAGGAGGTTTCACTCCTCTGTTCAACAACAGCAAAATCCCCCAACAGTATTAGAGCTTACACATTGTGTTTCTTAGAGTTTAAACCGAATGCTGCTATGATTTTCCAGGTTTCATTTGAACTTGAATTTTAATTCTTACAGACAAAAAACCTAAATGTTGTTGGTTGTCATTGGTCTATGTTTGTCATTTCTAACATAAAACGTTGGGGTAGTTTACATTTCCGGGTTCATAGTAGAACTCTATGAACTGGCAAATAGAGAATATGTAATTACAGTTGTGTTTCTTTCAAACGTTTGTCCCCAGAGAGACATGTCTGCTGCCAGCTGTCTGCTGACTGAAGATCAGTTTCTGTGCTCCATCTGTCTGGATGTGTTCACTGATCCAGTCAGCACACCATGTGGACACAACTTCTGTAAAGCCTGCATCTCTGAACACTGGGATACTAAAGTCCCCTATCAGTGTCCTAACTGTAAAAAGTTATTCCACACAAGGCCTGAAATGCTGGTCAACACTTTCATCTCTGAGATGGCTGCTCAGTTCAGACAGTCAGCTCAACAGAAAGCCAGCAGCAGCAGCTCAGAGCAACACGTTGTCAAACCAGGAGAAGTTCCCTGTGACGTCTGCACTGGAACCAGACTGAAGGCCCTGAAGTCCTGCCTGGTGTGTCTGGAGTCCTACTGTGAGACTCACCTGGAGCGTCACCTGACAAGAGCAGGCCTGAAGAAACATCAGCTGATCGACCCTGAGGAGAACCTGGAAAGCAGGATGTGTGTGAAGCATGATAAACTGCTGGAGCTGTTCTGTAAGACCGACCAGGTGTGTGTCTGCATGCTCTGCACTGTTTTAGACCACAAGATACATGATGTTGTTCCTCTGAAAGAAGGATATGAAGGAAAAAAGGCTGAGCTGGGGAAGACAGAGGCTGAAATTCAGCAGATGATCCAGAAGAGACGACTGAAGATCCAGGAGATGAATCGCTCAGTGGAGCTCAGTAAGGAAGGAGCAGACAGAGAGATAGCAGATGGTGTTCAGGTCTTCACCGCTCTGAAGGAGTCTGTTGAGAGAAGCCAGGCCGAGCTCATGGACACCATCAAAGAGAAGCAGAGAGAGACAGAGGAACAGGCTGAACGCTTCATCAAAGAGCTGGAACAGGAAATCTCTGAGCTGAAGAAGAGAAGCTCTGAGGTGGAGCAGCTCTCACGCTCTGAAGACCAGCTCCACCTCCTCCAAAGCTTCACGTCCCTGAACGCTGCTCCACCCACCAAGAACTGGACAGAAGTCAGGGTCCGTCCACCTTCATATGTGGTGACTGTGGTGAGAGCTGTGACTCAGCTGGAGGAGACGCTCAGTAAACAGATGAAGAAGCTGCTCTCTGAGGTGGAGCTGAAGAGGGTCCAGCAGTCTGAGGTGGAGGTGACTCTTGATCCTGATACAGCACAACCCAGACTCATCCTGTCTGATGATGGAAAACAAGTGAAAGATGGTGATGTGAAGAAGAATCTCCCAGATAATCCAGAGAGATTTGATTTGTGTCCTTGTGTCTTAGCAAAGCAGAGTTTCTCTTCAGGAAGATTTTATTACGAGGTTCAGGTTAAAGGGAAGACTGACTGGACTCTAGGAGTGGCCAGAGAGTCGATCAACAGGAAGGGAAGCATCATACTGACTCCTCAGAAAGGTTACTGGACGATATGGTTGAGGAATGACAATGAGTACCACGCTCTTGCTGGTCCTTCAGTCCGTCTCTCTCTGAAGTCTCAGCCTGAGAAGGTGGGGGTGTTTGTGGATTATGAGGAGGGTCTGGTCTCCTTTTATGATGTTGATGCTGCAGCTCTGATCTACTCCTTCACTGGCTGCTGCTTCAAAGAGAAACTCTACCCATACTTTGGTCCCAGTCTTAATCATGGTGGTAAAAACTCTGCCTCTCTGATCATCTCTCCTGTCAATCACACTGAGTAGAACAACCATTTGATTTTCTACAGAAAGATTCACTCTCACTAAATGTAATCAATGTATTCAACTGGGGAAGTATATTGTACACATTGTTAATGTTTCAGAATCTGATCACATATGGTTCACCTTGATGAGACTCATAACAACACATAAAATACTGATGAGTATGTTCTAATGTAGTCTAGTTTATTCTACGGATTGCACTTCCTGCCGTCATGACTTGAAGTGATCAGAAAATGATTTACTCAGAAATAAACTTTTACCACTTATTTATTTGTCAGGGGAACAAGAAAAGTATTTATTGTCTCAGAATTGTGTTTTCAAAAAGTGTTTCATACTTGCAAACATTACTAGTGGAAGTAATGCACTTGTTTTTTAATAATTTTAAAAGGAAAAAATGATGGGTATATTTTAAAGTGGTAGATTCAGGATTCATGCTTTAATTACAATATATTGGTAAAAAAATTATAAACAGTTACTTTGAAAATCAACAATACCTGATCATTAAACATTAGGCTGCAGTGGTTTAACAAATGAGGGAAATTCAAATGTTACCTCTCAGCTGTCTGTTGTGTTGTGTTGATTGTATTTCGTCCACCTCTCTGCACACTGCTTGTAAAGTTTGAACAAAGCCTCAATGGATTAAAAAAAAAGGAACAAAGAATGTTATTTTTTGTGTTTTTTTAAATGTACTAACTGAAGTACAGTTTTCACTAGTTCTCAATTTAGGGAAAGTAGCTTAAAAAATGTACTTAACTATTTCCATTTCTACTTAACTACATGTGTCTGATAGATTTGGTTCTTCTGAAGCTTTATAAACTATTTAAAACCCTCTTGTATCAGCTGATCATAGATATTAAGATTGCTGTATATGTTTGTTAGAAATAAGGTCATCAACTGGTTAGCTTAGCTTAGCATAAAGACTGGAAACAGGGGAAGACAAAGCCAGCCCGTCCAAAGGTTACAAAATCCACCTATCAGCAGCTCTGAATCCAGTTTGTTTAATCCATACCAAATCAGAGGAGTAAAAACATCAATAAGACGTTTAACAAGGGATTATGGGTCGGGCTATTTCTTGACTGGGACCAAAACAAGTTGCCAAATTGTTTTTACATTTCAGTTTTTGTACAGAGATATATTAAGTACACTTAAATGTGTATTTTTTCACTCACTATTTTCCCCTTTTCATAGTATATATGCTAAATGAAGCTAATCTAAGTGTCTGATGGCTGCAGCCTGTGTCAGTGTGAGCAGTCTGACTGGTTGGACTGCTTCTAATGATTAAGATCTCATTCCTCACCTTGAACACACTCCAGCACTGCCTGTACAGGTGAGACTAACTGACTGCAAACGTCCCGTCTGACTGGGAGATAAATAAAGGGTTTTTTAAATATCAAAATTGCATGAAATATGCTTATAAAGTTTATTTGATTAATGCCCTGTTTAGAAGATGGAGCTTATCATTTGAAATGTCATTATTTTTAAAGAGGTGGATGGTGAATAATATTACAATTAAAAATGTTTCACTCACATCATGACTTTGTTTTTATTACAGTACACGTTTTCTGAAATGTTATCTTTAAATATACTAACTCATACAGAAACAGCACAGAAATGTGTACACTGGTTAAAACCAGGATCAAATTCTTGTTTTATTGTCGACTTATTAGAGTCAAAGGTTTTTACAGAGGGGAGTTTTGATATGGGTTTGTACCACTACATACATCCACAAAAACTGTCAGCAGCCTTTAAGAGAAATCTATTCTCCACATGTTTTTGAGGGAAACAGATGTTATAATCCTAAACGCAATCATCAATAATCAGTCTATACATCTGGCTATTGATGATATATGAACAAACCACTCAGAGTACAGATGGGAGTGAAACTCATTTTGAGGTAGGAATCAAAATAGCCCAACCTTTCAAAACTGTCAACCGATGGTGACGTACCTTCACCCGTTAGCGACACAATGCTTGAATAGCACGTTCTCTAATAGGGAGTTGGCTCAAGGACTAAGAGATTAAAATAAGGGCAGTGTCTTCAAGATTCAAGACAACCTGTCTGCACTGAGTAAACAAAAATATGCTATGAGGCAGTGAACAAGTGTGCAATCTCTCAGTACGTCCCAACACACAGATATCTGTCTAAGAATACCTCAGTTGTACTGTGTGAATGAGGTCAAAGGCCAGGTTATATTTCAATGTGTGTTCATTGAATGATACTGGAAGTAGTGTATCATATGAGGGGCCGTACAGGCCGTAATTCATACTGGTCCTCTCACACACATACATTCTCCTTTTACATACATTTTCATTCTCATACAAATATATTTCAAGGCACACATTTATACATTTTTCACTCACACATATATACATTTAGCTCTCTTTCATATATTTTAATTAATCTGTGTATCTTTGGACCATTTGTTGGTACGTACAGGCCGTAATTCATACTGGTCCTCTCACACACATACATTTTCCTTTTACATACTGTGATGGTTGTCGCCTCTCCGGTCCTTGTAATTATTTTTGCTGTATATGTATACATGTAAATGAGCTGTGTAGTTGCTCCAACGTCATTGGCTGCCATCTCCTGGTCCGCCTCCGAGGACACTGATTGCAGCATGCCGGGCCCGACGCACTCCAATCCCCGTGCAGCCCCAACGCACACCTTCCGGATATGACTACAAAGCCTGCGGACACCTATCACTCGGGAGGCTCTGCTGCGATCAGACGCCTCACTCATTGTTGCTCCTGTGTCGTGGACACGTTAGAGTTAAACTGTCAGAACTTGTGTGATCCGTGTTTAGTGTTGTGTGTAGCGTGTGTTTATGTGTTTAGAGTAGTGTGTTTAGATATGTGTTAAGAGTGCGTGTTTTGGTTCCCCTGTGTTAGCTGCATTTCCCTGCGGGCCTCCCCATTAGCAGTGATTAGTGGTAATTAGCGGTGTAGCCAGGTGTGGATTTAGACTCCCTTTTAGAGTCCTTTCTGTTTAGCAGTTTACCTGTGCCCTTTGGCTCTTTAGTTTGGCTTAGCTATTTTTGTCCTCCTTTTGTTGTACACCTGTTGGTTATTCCATTAAACCCTATTATAATGAATTACCAATTCCATTCTGGTGTGTGTTGCCTACCTCATCCCTATAGTGAGATCGTAACACACACGTACATATATTTTCACTCTCACACACATACATTCTCCTTTTACATACTGTACATACATTTTCATTCTCACATACATATATTTCAAATGCACACATTGTCACTCACATATTTATACATTTTTCACCCACACATATATACATTTAGCTCTCATATTCATATATTTTAACGCTCATATTTATACATTTTGCTCTTATGTACATTCATTCAATGTTTACATTTAATATTATAAACAGTATATGCATGTCTGAAGACAATATATGTATGCAAGAGAAGAATGTATGTATGTATGTATGTGTGAGAGAGTATAGTGGAAACGGAAACATTATTGTGCTGTGATTGGCTCAGAAGGCCGAGCGAGGCGGGCTCATGTTCAGAACTTCGGATTCAAATCAACATGATGGAGGGAGATGAATCTGTGTATCTTGACTTCACTGTGTTCACGGGGAAGAGTTCTGTTAGTTTCCATTTGACCTTGGAATAAAGGAATTTTCTGTGGAATCTGCATTTCGCTCTACCCTGCCATAAAGAGAAATTAGAGTGTTTATGAATGTACTGTTTGTGTTTCATCGTCTCCTCTGACTCTCTACTGACACCAACAGGCTGAACGTGGTACTGCGCAGAGCAACAATTAAAAACAGGAGACTGTCAGTGTTTGACATTTGATTTTACTTTTAAAAAAAATGTACATTACAATTTAAGAAGAGCAATCATTTCATTTAAAAAACGTACACCTATGTATACAACGACACCAGTTTATAAAACCATTGTATCCTAAAGACAGCAGCCGACAGAAAGGACACAGTTTGTCAAATGTGCAACTTTTTCATTGAAATAAAGGGAATTTAACGTCAAATAAAATGTTTAAACGCTGGATTAAAAGCTTTCAGACTGAAAATACAAATAGAGACATGATTTAAACATAGCTGCATTAGCTGGGTAACAGACACTTAATCAAGCTGCAAAAAAATATAATTTAAGAAGCCTTACTAGTGTTAGAGTAAAAATAAACATGGGCTACATGTTGATGGGTATAAGAATGTTGTCAAAATAAACTTATTTTTTTACTTATCGGCTCATTTAGGTCAGATTGATAGGAAATTGAGCTTTGTACAAAGTCAAAAAAGAAAAGCTGAACTACGACTTTGTGTTGTTTTAACTTATTTAGCTTTAGCCAATTAGCTCGGACTGGAGAAGCTAAAGTTAATCAGATCAGAAAAACCTTTAATATTTATAGATATGTTAATAATAATATATTTGAGCTTCTTTTGAACATCCTAGCTATAGTAAAATATAAACTTAACTGTGATTTAAAAAGGTTTTAGGTCAGCTCCAGTTGTTTAGCTTTAGCCGATTAGCTAGTGTTAAGAGGCTAAAGCTAACAATCCCCTTATTGTTTACATTACAACATACATTTATTTAAGCCTCTTAATTTATCTCTCAGCTAAAGTAAAATATATTCTTAACTGTGATTAAAAAAGAAAAGCGGCCCAGGTCAACGATTCAATCGGTTAGCTTGTCGATTAGCATCAAGCTAGGAAGATGAAGTTCAAAGAAATGGACCAGAAATGTTATATTTAAAAAATAAAAGCTCCCCTGCGGTCGATGTTGTGGTTTCATTAAGTCTTTCAGCACATTCATATAGAAACAAACAGTGTCCGCCACCACATTAAAAACCCAACATACTATAATACAAACTGGCTGTAAGGCTTAGTAGGCTACAACACGGAGTTTACACAACGTTATAAATCCCTGAAGATATGATGTAAAGTGGTTTCAAACACGGAGAGTACAAACATTTCTCATTAATACCAGAACATGTAATATGTTCATATTTCAGCACTAAACACATTGTTAAGATGTTCAAGTATAATATTCATGATGTAGTTGTAAAGACACTAAAGGAAA